GCATTGGGTAATGGTCATATGAACTAGTCGGCAATGGAGTCAATGTATTAAAAACGTACAAGACCCGGACGCTTAAATCATATGATGTTTTTTTTTTTTTTTTTTTTTTTTGGGTGGGTGGGGGGGGGGGGGAGAAATTTTTTCCCTTGCATATCTCAAGTCCTGACTTAAAAAGTAGTCCAAACAGACTCCGTGGTCGTGTGATCAATGAATTAAATGAGACAAACTTTTCACCCCCTTTAGGGGCATTCGTCTTATCAGCTTTCAATATTATGTCAATAACACTACATTAGCAGGTGTAGAGTTGACTTATGGGTAGATATCCGCAGTATGTGATAACATTCACTCAGTTTGCTGCACCGAATATGGGTTGTTGTAATAAAGAAAAAAAAAACCCACTAAAGTAAAGCAAACAACAGCGACGGGAAAGAGCGAATGGGATGACGAACGATGACGGCGTAGGAAAGCGGTTCTCAACCTTCCTAATTCTCATTCATTCAGTTCCTCACGTGTTGGTGACCCCGACTCATAAATCTTTTTTTCGTTGCCACTTCATAAATATGTGCTATCCTGTGGTCTTAGAAGACCCCTTTCGTAGGGGTCGTTCGGACCCGTAAAGGGATCACGACCCACGGGTTGAGAACCGCTGGCGTAAGACTACATGAGTGCACTGAAGTGTGGCCCACTTGATCCGCCCCGTGAGGTTGCCACGAGGTGCTGATCTAATGATGACATGACTGTAACTTGTGTGTCCAATGTGGGTTTATGATTACATGACTGTAACTTGTGTGTCCAATGTGGGTTTATGATTACATGACTGTAACTTGTGTGTCCAATGTGGGTTTATGATTAAAATGTTAGTTTTCAATGTCAAGTAATATTTTTGTAAAAAAAATAATAATTTAGAGCATTGATTAGAATTTCGGAGTAAGGCAAATTTACCCGTAATCCGTAGTTGTACATTGTCTTTTTTTTTTTTTTTTTTTTTTTTTTTTTTTTTTTGGTAATCGAATATTGTGATCGTGAATTTAATAGTTTCCACTGTATGTCTGTCTGAAACTAGCGATCTCTTGGAACAGCGTTAAATTTTCAGAATGCGTCGTTGCGTTCACTTTGAAAGCTCAGTGAAAAATAAGCAATTAATGACTATCAAGTGTCCCGTCCTATGGGCAAGTGTTGTAGTTTTAGAATATTTAGTTGCGCCCACTTTAAAACATTTGAAATTAATCTCTCCTACTTTGAGGAAGTTGATTTTTTTTTTTTTAAAGTTAAGAGAGAATTATGAGTTAAGTTTAGATAAAATCCAAAGTATGTTTAAATCACCCATTATTTCTGTGAAGGGTAATATTAACTGATAAACAACGCTCCGTGCTGCTGGGTGCTTGTCTATGGCTAGACAGGGGTAGATAGTAGAATGGTTGGGTTAGGTCAAGATTTTTATCTTTTGTTGTTTTAAAATGTATAATGTTCTGTAATTGCTAATTTTTATGTGAAGCGCAGTGAGCCTAGCCCTAGTCTACGGTACTGCGCTATATATAACCTCCTTAATAATAAAACTAACAATAATAATATTACTAGCAATGAAATACATTTATTCGGGGCACAATCAATAGCAAAGAGCTGTATCGGTCTTCAGTCCACTTGAGTTGATGAAATAATTGATACCACATGGTAATAGACGTAGGAATCGATGTTAACACACACAAAATACCACCTTCTCCAAGATTTTGAATTAAACTTGTTTAACTTGCTTTCATGTGCAGCTAGGGGAAAAAAAATAGACCCTTTTAACAAATCCTAATGCGCCCCCACCCCCATAGATACGCCCTCTATGAGAGAGCCGACAATGACACGGTCACGTCCGAGGAGCATAAACATAACACACGCCCATGGTCATGATAAGTCATCATGCATAATACCGGCACACACAAGCTGGTCATCTCTCTAGAAACGCCCATGCCGGAGAGCGTTAATCGCAGCATCGTCACCTTCCACTCGCACCCACGCGCAGGGCAACGCCCACCATTATGCACACGGGACGGCGTCGTTTAAGCTGGACTCGAAACGAGAGAAGCGTTAAGGGACCATCATTAAGAATAAAAGGTGAAGGATTGGGGAGGGGGGGGGGAGTTATTAGCAAGATATAAGTATTATTTTTTAAACTGATATCGCTGACCCCCCCCCCCCTCCCCCACCAAAAAAATAAAAATTTGTCTTTGTGCGAACTGCTACCACGAGAATGGTTTGTCATGTACCAGTTCTAGAATTACACGCTTTCACTTCAAATAGTTCTATCCGTTTCCAAAACGTAATCGTTTCGCTACTAATCGATTCCATAAGGTAATCGTTCCAACTGGTGTCGCAGAGGTGAAGTGCATTGAATGACAAAAATGGAAGGGGGATAAGCAAATCCATTGCGGCTTTGTCAATCCAAATTTCTTATGGAATCACCTAAACAAATAATGGTTTAAGTTTAACATTTTTTTTTCAATCTCAGTTAGAAGAATACTCACTATGTTTTACATACAAAATACTAATGCTCAGGTCACACATCAAATTTTCGCCAAATTTTTTAATTAACGCACTATTTTTGTGTGTATAATAATGCGATCATTAAAAAATGCGATGACAATTTGATCGTGTGAACTGAGCATTACTAACTTTGACATGCATCCTGCTAACTATCTTTCACATACACCATGCTATCTTCCACATACACCATACTATCTTTCACATACACCATACTATCTTTCTCATACACCATACTATCTTTCAAATACACCTCTATCTTCTACATAAACCATACTATCTTTCAAATACACCATACTATCTTTCACATACACCATACTATCTTTCACATACACTATACTATCTTTCTCATACACCATACTATCTTTCACATACACCATACTATCTTTCTCATACACCATACTATCTTTCAAATACACCTCTATCTTCTACATACACTATAGCTAACTAACTTCCACATTCCCCCTACTAATTATCTTCCACAGACACCATACTCCCTTTCAAACACCACCCCCACCCCCTTTTCCCCAGTCTCACACACTAAACAAACCTGACTCACCTTCCTCTCAATGGCCCCACATTAAACTTCTAACTTTGCCCCAGCTTGGGGCAGTCTTTACTACGCCAGAGTGCGCTACGTCTTAAATTTGCATCTGAAACTCCGGCCGACTAAGAGTCATAGTACTTGCTCTTCACCAATGTAAAATATTTTTTCTACCCTGTATTAACATATTATGTAGCTCTTCCTGATTCTTTAAACAAAACAAATGTATCAAGCAGCCTGACGTGCTAATCGGACATGACGATAAAGAACTTAATTATTGTTACAACTTAAGGTTTCTAAAGAATTAATATAATTATGTTTTCTCAAGATTTAAAATAAAATAAATAAATAAATTCAAATGATTAATCACAAAAAAAAAAAAAATAACTTAATTAAAAAAACAAGACTTAAAACCAAAGTTTTTCGTAAAAATTCTTTATATGAATTTTTGTTTGCATTAATTTAATTATATGTCATTTTATAATTTATTAAGAAGCGGTTATGGGTAAACTTCTGGCGAAAACGCGTTTCATATTTTCATTTGTACACCCTCAAAAATACATGTTGGTTTTCCTGCAATGACTTTGTTGAGGGAGTTAAGCCGTAAAAAAAAAGTTATTATGGTTTACACTGTAATTACATTTCTTGAAACAATTATTTTGAAAAACAGTAAAAACTGGTTTTCGGAGTTTGGGGTTAGGTTCAGGGATAAAAATTTGATCGAATGTGTTATTGTGAGCAACAAGTCTATAAGCCAAGTTTCATTTCGATAGGATCACGGCAAGTGGGCCAGTTAGCCTCCGAAAATTTTGCCTCAAGGAAAGACACCAAAAAAAATGCTTAGTTAATATAAAGGATTTTACACTTATTCACAATTCACAAAAAAATCAAGGGAACTAACAACAATAGCAAAAGAGGAAGACAAAATATATTTTGTACGCCCCCTTCAATGATGATTGTGGACGACTCGCCTTAAGTTGGAATGAAGCCTACAGTCTTGCAACAACCACATCAGGCCTATCACTAGATTTTTTTTTTATAGAAATGGGGGTTGATTTTTCGGCTCATATTTAACCAACACAATAAATCAATTCATGGACATACACTTGCATCAATTTTTTTTATATATATTGCGTGACAAATAATTCACATCCAGGCTTTTAAAATGAACACAGAAATACCCCTAAGCAGGTTTTTTTGGCATGACAGGAATGAATTTGAAATCGCACTTTGGAACAACATTAACAACACGTCGCTGACCCTCCAGCTGATGTAGTAAACTACACCCGATCACACGAGGAAACTTATTTCCAGGGTCATTATTGGGCAGTCGTCACATCTAGGAATTGCTCCATTGACTTACATGTGTTGAGACTTATGGGGCAAGTGAAATTTAAAACTTTTTTTGGAGCTAAATATTGTTTTTTTTCGTCTCCGGACGTTTCAAGGGAGCTGTGTATATATATATATTTTTTAATTTAAAATTTTCAAAGCGGCGGAACTAACTTCTAGGCACCTTGAGTGATAGTTCCCACAGTTATCTTGCAAAATTGTATGACCTTTTCAACAACAAAAAATGGATGTTTGTCAATGAAATAACGGCTGCCGTCTTTAAGTCTTTAAAATAGAAAAAAAAAACACACACAGTCACATAAACTATTTAAAAAAAAATCAAAAGCAAATATTACGCCCGAACGGTTTTCGGTATCTTTAAAAAAAAAATCTTTTAGACCACTTAATAGAAATTTTATGGTCGGGAACTAGTCTGTGTACCAACTTTCAGCTCAATAGGTTAACGGGAAGGGGCTCAAAATTGGCCTACTGAAGAATTTGCCAGCCATAAATCCAATCTGTCACCAACAATTGCGAAGTTAAAATAAAGGATTAAAAAAATAAAACAACAACAAATTCCTGGAATAAATCCAGCGCCTCCTTTGAGTCCTAGAACCCCATAAAATACCCGACAGACTTTCATCTCCTCGTCGGCCATCCCACCGTCCTCTGGGAGTGGTACTGCCACTTTAAAGAACACAATTTTTAAAACATTGCTAACATGAAACAAATATAAATCATTTTTCCCCTAATAAATCAGCATCGTCTTTTATATTTGTTTAGGATTGTTGCACTGGTCTTTAAAAAACCAGGTCCACATGTTGTTCTCAGGGTACCACTGGACGCCAGTGTCTTTGTTCATCTTCTCGCACAACTTACAATGCCAGCTTTCAACAGCAACGTATTCGTACTCGCTCTTTTTTCTCAGCATTTTCATGTATCGATCCTTTTCCTGCGATAAATCCTTTAAGTATTCGCCCAGGGCCTCAGGCGAATCGAAGTCTGATGCGTCTATGAAAGTATCGGGTGGGAAATAACGTTTGTAATTGGCGCCGCCGCGTACAACGGGTATGACGTCAGCATTCGTGAACAGCTTAAAAAATTTCTCCGTGACGTAATCGACGCAGAAGGAATTCTCAAACGCCAGGTAGTAAAAGTATTTCCTGCTTAGCAACGGGAAACAACGACGGTTGTCGTCCCGTCGATAGTTAGAACCCTCGGCACAAGAGTAGTTCCCGCATTTCCCGAAGATGTGCACGGGGACTATCTTCTGCAAGCGATGGACATACGGCATTCTTAAACTTTCGGTGCTGCAATGGCTGACAAACCACGCGGCCTGCACGTGTTTAGAGGAATAGATGGCGTCGTAGTTCTTGTCCGGTGCCGGCGTTACTCGTCTGAGTTTCCCGTACGGTCTGGGGATGTCCGAGTCCAAGTGGTAGGTGAGGCTCCAGTTAAACTGACCTGCCAATTTTTGAGGAAAATATTTGTTTGAGACTTGAAAAAAAGTCGGTTTGCAGTTGTTTAAGTGGTTTTTTACTCATTGTGTCAATCTGAGATGGGAGCCAATGCAACGGTATGCTGGAGCTAGTGCCAGGGGGTACGAGAGCTAGTGCAAGGGGATACGGGAGCTAGTGAAAACGGGTACGTTAGCTAGTGTAAGGGGTTCCAAGAGCTAATGCAAGGTGTTAGTTGAGCTAGTGCAAGGGGATACGGGAGATAGTGCAAGGTGGTACGTTAGCTAGTGTAAGGGGGTTCCAAGAGCTAGTGCAAGGTGTTACGTGAGCTAGTGCAAGGGGGTTCCGTGAGCTAGTGCAAAGGGATACGGGAGCTATTGCAAAGGGATACGGGAGCTAGTGCAAAGGGATACGGGAGCTAGTGAAAAGGGATACGGGAGATAGTGCAAAGGGATAGGGGAGCTAGTGCAAGCAGAAACGGGAGCTAGTGCAAGGGGTAAGGGAGCTAGTTCCACGGGATGCAGGAGCTAGTGTCAGGGGGTATGTAAGGTAGTGCAAGGGGGTAAGGGAGCCAGTGCAAGGGGGTGTGGGAAAAACCCAAAAATATCAATTTCTTTTTTAAAAAATAATCTATAATACTTAATATTTGGAGAAGTTGGTGGCAACTGCTTTGAATTGCGTAGATGTTTCAGCACTGCAAGTAGGTTAAGAGAACTTGTGAGCATACATGTGATATAGTATTGAAACAGACTAATAGATGTAGTTTAAAAGCAATTCTAATAAGCCCAATTTGTTTTTCAAATTTTGTTTACAAAATGTCTCATTTACATAGATCATAAGATCATTGTTATGAAGCCATTATGTGATCATATTCACCAATGAACTGTGTCGTGTTGAGGATCCAGAAGTTCCCAGCCCTGCATGGCGCCTCAGGTGTGAACATGACCCAGCGTTGCCCTGCCGGCCTGGTGAAGTTTGGAACGATGTGCGCTTTGTTCATCCTAGACATGGATGTCAAATCTCAAGTTACATTTGGGACTGCTGAGTCATAATATGTACTACGTGATTATTTGATGTTTGTTAGTTTCAGATAAAATGTCTAAGCCATGATCTGAAAATGTGTGAAATTGTTTGATCACTATTTGTTACATCATTTACGTCAGTATTCAGTCGTATCTGGAAATTTGTTTGAAAGAAATTTCGTAGACGGAAAATTGATCGACAGAAATTTGATTGAACGAAAATTTTGTCGGATCTTTTTTTTTTCACTTTACACGTTAAAATTTTGCGTCCAATTTCTTTTTGAACGCATTATTTGGATTTACTACATAGTAAAGTGCGTTCAAAAAGAAATTGGACGAAAATTTTAGCGTCTGAACTAAAAAAAAGATTCGACCAAATTTCAGTCGACCAAATTTCTTTCAAACAAATTCCCGGTAACCATATTCAGTAAAACTTTTTTTTTTTTTAAATGTGTTTTTTTTTTTTAAATGATGATAGAAGAAGAAAGAGAAGGATGGAAATGGGTGGGGTAAAGGTTGTGGAAGATAAGTGAGGGCTGTGGGCGATATCGGGCCTTGAGTTTATGTGGAGAGGATATGGCAAAGAAGGGAGGTGACGATATTATTAAAACCGATAGCTACTACGATTCTTCTTATTAGCAAAATCACTGATCATCAGTTGCGCCACCAGGTGATTGCGAACGGCAACGGGGCAACACCCCATTAAGGAGATGAGAGCAACTGGAAAATAACAAACTTAACCCGAGATAGTTTCATCACAGATCTCAAGGTGCCACCGGAAGAGGGTGCCACCAGCAAAGAGTATTATTAAAAAAGGTTTTCACCAGACAATAATGTTGCCAGCAGAGAAGCGTGCCATCTGAACAGCGTGTCACCAGATAGAGCAGGTTGCCATCAGAGCACGTTGCAAACATCACATTCGGCCAACTGAGGTTTACTGAGCAGGTTTGGTCATTTCTCCCTATGCTTTAATTAAGCCCATACTTACTTATGACAAATATGTGTGTCTGTTGCCTTTATGTGAGAGGAGCCTTTTAAAAACTGAAACTTATAACTGCATGTTTGCGATCTCCCATGGAAACGACCAAGCCTTCAATTCTTGTGATTTTGTTGAGTGAAAGTGATAAGCTAAAGATTTCTAGGATGTAAATCAATTGTTTGCATCTTTAAAGAACAAGACTGTAAAGGTTTAACCTTGAAGTCAAGTTAAACTTTCAATACAAAGTATTTATTTGTTAGCATTTGAAAAAGAAAACTCTGTTAGTTCAAATTCTACGTTCACTTCTCATGTCTTTGGATTCTCATTCTAGGTTTTTTCTCATGTCTTTGGATTCTCATTCTAGGTTTTTTTCTCATGTCTTTGGATTCTCCCTGTCAGAACTTAATTTATTAAAACAAACACACACAAAAAAACCCATTGTAAGCGCTTGTGCATCATCTGGGGGAAAATTCACTTGGCGCGTGTCTAGAAGGGAGTTCGGAAAACGGGGAAACGGTTCCAATAGTTTACCGTAGGGCTGACACCAACCCTACCGACTATTGCCTCTGATTATCATAATAATAAAAATGCCCTCAACTCAACCTCCCCTTTTTCCGAACATACTGACTCTAACACAAATACAAACAATTCACATCTTAAAATGAAGTTACCTGTCCATGAACATATTTTCAAATTGCTAAAAATCAGACTTTCTTGAAGATCGTATACCAAGGTCGTTTGACTGGTACCAGTTGTTGATCACACCTAAGCATTGTCCTCGTACTCACTTGAAGGGATAGAACATGACAACATCTGCGTCCCGCCATTCATGCGTGACCTCACAGTTGTTGAACTTGCACTGCTTCAGGTTCAGTGACTCGGTGCGGAAACAACTCTGGGAGTCGTTAGAACAAGGGAGTAGATACGCTATCGTCCTGGCCACCACTGGGCTGGCGTTCGTATCCTTGAAGACGAACTGCTCCCTACGGCTGGCATTAGCCGTGAACTCAAGTCCCGGATTTCCGTTCCGGGTGTCGTCTGGGATAATGAATGGTGAGGTGAAAGTACTAAAGAATGTCTCTCGACTCATGTTCGTCGGCGATGAGTAGTTGGATGGAGCTGGCGATGTTAAAGACGACGAGGGTGGCACTGGGGATGTTGATGAAAAAGAGACGTTTATAATGGGAGACAAAGTGCCGAGAGTTTGACCCCGTTGTGTAATGATGTCTGGAACAGGCTGTTTTTGAATGCACATAGGAAGTGACCCTGAGGATAGAGAAACGTTACATTTTAAAGTTGACCAAAGTTTTTTGTGGGGGTAGGGGTATTTGTCTGCAACCTATTTTTATGTGTTTGGGGGGGGGGGAATAAAATGAACGTCCGTCTGTATTGAGGGTTCCCAGTGTGGATAGTACTAGGTGAACCCTTTTTGACAAATGGATAGATAGTTTGGGTTTATTTTGGTTGTTGTTGAGCTTATGACATTAAAAATATTGTTGAAAAAATGTTTATAATATAGTTTAAAATGTTGTTTAAAATATTGTTTAAAAGGCCTTTAAACAAAAATCAACCTTTTCAAACCTTTCTGCGAGAATTAGAAGTAGGTGCTTATAAAAATCAGAGATTTCAGAAAAACGAATTTTGAGAATTTAGCATTATATGACGACGCATTGCCTCATAGTTGAACTCATATTATGAATATTTATAGATGGCTGGAAACGGCAGTAGCATCCATTTTCTGTGGTATCAACATAAAACTATTGTTACGCACTGACTTGTATTGGGAGAAATTAATCTCCTATTTTAATTTTAATTTGGCTCGATGTAAACAGTGCCTAACAAAGGACGATACCATAGAATCAACAATATTAAAGATACGACCCAAAACAGTTTCTAGTTACAATTTATTAAGATTTATTATTTCTTAAGATAATTACAAAAATAAAATAAAATTACAATCTTCAACTTACAGTATGGTAGATCTCGTACCGCTACACATTTAATACCATTAGAAATAATGATGCCAATAAATAATGCGAAATAAACACATATAAGTAGGAGCACACAAATACACAAAGAATAAAACACGCCTCGTAATTGTTAAGAGAATCTATCTCAAAAATCTCCCTCGTCGTGCCTGTCAATCCCTTATATATATGTAGAGTAAGATGCTTCGAGAAGGGCTTATGACGTGTTGTTTACATATCTCGGGTTAAGGAGTATATTCCAGAAATTACCCGAAAACAATCTACCCAATGCGTAATTGGAAGCCGATTGTAAACAAGCTACTTCAAAGACCTAAGCCACACCCCTTTGTGAACACAGCGTCTCATGCGGGGTCAATCAGAGGGCACGCACGAGGAATATTATGTAAACAAGCTCTCTATAACACTATATATGACAATATAACACGAAGCTATGCTTGTTTATTAAAGGGGACGTTACGTGGCTGTTGAGTAAATAAACAACTGACTTTGATCGGAAAACGGTTGGCGCTTTCGTTCTCTAGCCTAAGTCGAAATACGGATTTTCCATTGGTAAAGAATATTTGCTTTTGTCTACCTCAAACTTTTCATTAAATAGTTTTTTTCCTGGGTTTATAAAAGTAAATTGTGAACTCCAATGGAAGGAGTAAGTTCTGCCCTTTCTTTTGATGAATATAGCATAATGGAGCACTGTGCATGGTATTAAACTAAGACACGCATTCCAAATCTTGATAATGGGGCGATTGTGGTGTAGAGATGGATAAGGCACAGAGTAAGGGTACCAAACACTAGCATCACAAGACAGACCTTGCATTGGAACCTTCAAGGTACCCAGGAAAAAAACAACAGAAAACCAAGAGCCACGCGCAAGGAGGGTTGAAGGCAGTGGTAGACAGAATGGAGAAAAGTGGGGCGTGTCACATGGGGTTTGCCTCTTTGTGACGTGCCAGACTAGTATGCCTGCGAATCCTGGACATTAACAGCCGATCTTGAAAGGAAAATAAAGGCGATGGAGATGAAATGCTTCAGAAGCATTTTTGGCATCTGCTTTAGGGACCATATCTCCAATGATACAGTGAAAGAAAGGGTTCGTCAGGCAATTGGGGAGTACGATGACCTACTGGTGACTGTGAAAAAACGCAAATTACAATGGTACGGCCACGTAACAAGGAAACAAGGGCTTGCCAAAGAAATATTGCAGGGCACCACAACAGGAGGGAGAAGAAGAGGAAGACAAAGAAAAAGGTGGGAGGAAAACATCAAAGAGTGGACAGGACTAACACTGGGCGATGCAGTGTGTAGTGCTGAAGACAGAGGGGTATGGAGGAGGATGGGTCACATGTCATCTGTGGCGCCCGAACGGTCTAAGGACTAAGGTACATGAGGATGAGGATGAGACTGGTAGGGAGGCTTTGTTCTCCCGAAGCCAAAAACCCCGGCCACTTGAATGACTACCATCGCAACGGGAGTAACGCAATAACATGATTTTTGTAGCCGTTAATGGATATGAGGTCTAGATGGCGGTTAAATCCGATACCGATGACTTTAGCTACGCGGCACTGAGAAAGCCGCGACCGTTTCGTCCCAGCTTTTGCTTCGACCGAAAGACCCCCTGGACGGTGGGGGTGGTAACGCAACACATTTCCCCCGGAGTGGAAGCAAAGCCGTCCTGACCCACGGAGAGTGGACCGCGAACACTTTAAACGCAGCGTTTTCGGTTGACCATGTAGGGGTGTGCCGGTGGGGGGGGGGGGGTATTAAGAGCTCACGCTTGACGTCCCACCGACGCCATCTCAAATGAGACGTTATTGGTTAGCGGTGGAGCAGACAGACTGAACGGTTGTCGGTAAACCGAACGAATTAGTAGCATGAATAAAACAGGATAGGCTACGCTGGTCGGGGCAGGCCAAAGCCCTACATGGGCTTTAGCGCCACTAGGTCCGGATTTCGGTGAAATCCAAGACTGACGACAAGATCGGTCGTTCGGTAGAACTGTGCATCGGACAGTATAGAAATT